GGAATAGTCCCGTTAACAATTTTACCCCTCTCCCCTCTAAATACCCTAAAAATACCCCTGATCAGTGAGTGAGTGAGTCAGTCAGTGGTAATCGAGCTTTATATAATATAGAATAGAATAATAGATAAATGTCATATTTAGTGATCGTTTAGGTACCTACTCTGGCATAATTACGAGGCAGGTCTGTTGGTCACCGCTAAGCGGTTTCTACAAAGGGTGCAGAATGATTTTGTCACGTAAGTAGAGACGTAGTACCTACTATGTAATTTTCAGTACAGTTCGTTGCGCACGGTCAACATTGAAGGGAATATTAGTAATATTACAGACTACTCCCCGTGACAAGTTAATTGAATAGATTAGAAGACCGAGGAAGCACCGACCGGTAAACATGGAGATTCTATGCCTCGAAGAACACGTTAAGAAGCTAGTCCCGGGAGTCTTTCCACAAGAAGGGAATTACATATTTACTTAATAATTTCGACTGTAGGTATTATTGCGAAATCAAACTGTATTTGGATAGAATAGAATAGGCGAAGATACTAAAAACTCTTTTAAGTTCTTTTATTCTTATAAGGAAGAAGGCAAAGCCTACCTCATTAAAGAGCAAATCATCAATCTTAGAACATTAAATCACTCAGGACTTTTGCCATAACTCAACTAACTTAAGGTTTCTAAGGTAGGTAAGTACCTATATGAAAGAGCTGAATAATTTAGGCACGCACGGGTATGCAAACCATTATTCTGGTTGCTAGAAGAATGTTGACGAAAAAATAGGTTGAGAAAATATTGAAGACCCGTTTATAAGAGCTTTTATAAGTAACGTTTTTAATTTATAGTTAACTCTGGATTCTGGAAGTATCTGCCAATTCTGAACCGGAGATAATCCTTTGATCTCAAGTGCAATAATATTGACCGACTATTTGAAGATTCCGTATAAAACAAATATGAACTTAATTCATAAAGAGAGCACGTATGTATTTATGATGTGCGTAATGGTAGCGTTGGTGGGCAAGGCAGTCAGCAGTCTTCGATCATAAAATTATGTTTGTTATTATTGCCGCAAATCTCAAGTATCAAAATAAATCTATTTTCAGATTCAGAAGTTGAAGTTCTAATTTAAGTTCCAATTAATTAAAATATTCGAGTATATGGAGCTACGACCTTCCAGATGTGCGTAGGTAGTCTGGAGAATTATTTAATCAAACAGAAATAAAGCGACCCGTTCGATTTTGTAAAATGTAAACAGAGTTGTAAAATGTTTAGTCTAAAGTTAGTTAACTCATGCTTTATTCATTCAACTTATAATCATGATTGATTGAGTTATATTCTTTAGTGTAGTTTCTCATTTTACTGTAATTTCATCAACATTACGGAGATAGGTGCTGGGTCATTCCATCGTTTCGGGTGTTACGTTCGTACACACATATTCAACAATTTCATGTATTTTGAAATAGTATTTTAATAATGTTAGTGCCTTAATCTGTCCGTTTTTAGTTGTTTTATCTTAATAATAAAGTTTGTACAGCTTAGAATGTAGGATAACGAAAATATGAGTCGAAAAGTGTGCGTTTCGGGCGTTACGAGATTTTGCCTCTATGTTCTGACTGTTGCTGCATTTACTCGAAATTTAGCGAATTTTCTTAAGGAATCATACCTAAAACTTACAGGACTTCTAAAGTATGACATTTACAAACCATGTAACATACAATCACTGTTAAATAAAACGTTTTACTATTTTTTTATAAATTTTTTCTTTGTTTCGGGTGTTACAATGGTTCTGTTTCGGGTGTTACGAGTACGAAAATTCAACTCGTTTTATCGATAAAATCGGTGTTTTATTAGTCTCTAGGTACTACAAAATAAGGAGTACAACAAATAAACACAAATAGAGCGAATTCTGGTTTGAAATTACGAAGCAGCTTTTTTTAAAAAATATACAAAGTTCAAGTTTAATTTTTCCTCAGAATATAGCTTTTTCTATTGTTTTTGGCTTGAAATAGCATTACTTTAATTTCTAATTACGATATTTATTGGAAATGTCAAACATCGACACTTTTTAGCAATACCTTAATTTTAGTGTTAAGTCGACATTTCAAAAAAGTCTTAAATTGAGAAATATGACTCCTTTTCCGATGCCAGCGCTAGTGGGAGGTCAAAGGACCCTCACAGTAATACTTTTTCACTTCTCCAAGCAATATACACACATTATCGACATATAAATAAAAATGTAATACCCGAAACGTTTCGGGTGTTACAGTTTTTAATCAAGAAAGAAACATACTAAATTAGTATCATGCTCAGATATTAGTTACTATTTGAAATCATTACTACCATGACCTTACTTTTACCAAATATTGTTACCCTAATCCATGTGTAAGGTACAATAATAAAACAAATACCTGTTTTTCTGTTTCGGGTGTTACATCGCCGAAGTAACAAGAAAACACACTTAAAACTTGATGATTATCCATTTTTTTGGGACTATGACGCTATCTACCAATACTATGATAAATACCCTCAAATCATATAGTGGCAAAACGGTTCACAGATTGATAGTTTTTTTAAAATCGTATTACCAGTAATTAGAGAGAAAATGATCATTCAGAGAGTTGACTTGAGTATAGACTTTGAAGACTAATAATTTAAAAACTACATGTTTCCTTCAGATTTTTTTTGTTGCACATTATAATTTGGAATGTGTACTTTCAAAATTCATCAGATTTAATGCGAAAAGAACATATTTAGTTTTTCACCCTCGGTAACATTTGTCATGGAATGACCCTGCTACAGTTTTTTTGTGTCTCGACAGTGAACAGGAAATCAATGATTTATTGAGATGTGTGCCAACTAAGTTAAGCTAAGCTTATTGCCGCATTGTCTCGCGACTCGAATTTTCAGTGTTTAATGAAAATGCTTTAGAATTTGCTTGAAAAAAGCTGGTTGTTACTTTTATTGTTGACCTGTGATCCGAAATGAATAACTCGGTTTATTCAAAGTTATTTATTTATGGTAATTGGAAAACGAGTAACCAGCTGTACATACAAAATCTTCGTTTAGCTTCATGCGTTGTTTTGATGATTTGGCTTATCTTCAATAAAACTGGATGACAAAAAGAGGCTTCGATTATTTTGAAATGAGAGCTTCACAGTTACATTAAAGTAAATCGATTCCTGCCTTGTGATCGGAATCATGCGTTTATAAATGTGCCTGTACTTTTGCTACTGCTTACTTTTATGCCGTAAGTAGGCAAATTTGGTTGGTAGGTAGGTACCTACTACCAATTAATGAGCTGTCTGAAAAGCCAAACAAAATTGTAAGCACTACCTACAAAATTATCTACACTCTACACTACCTAATTATCTAATTTAGCAATAGCAGAAATTAAAAACACTACGTTAGGTAGGTATGTAGTCAAAATCTTTGATTATTGTGCCTACTACAAGTGGTGTTAACGACAGCAGATTCCAAGGATATAGGCTACTTATAGCAATTTCGTCGAGAAAGCCAAGTAAGGAGTTCAGAGGCGGACCTTACCTCTCGCACCGGTCGGCTGGCTCAGCGGCTCTCCGTTCACTTTGATCGGCCTCCCGTCCGCTGTGCATTTTAATAACATATTTTCTACATGTGTTCACTGTTTACTTCCCATTTAACACTCGACCACCAACAAAATCCAAACAACCAAAACAAACGGGTCAACGTATTCCTCCGATTATTTTTCTCTTTCGCGCCAACTGATTGGCTGTCGCACGTGACGTCAAAAGTCAATTTGAAACCACTCGAATGAACACAAAAAATAACTTGTTAATCAGTCTTAAAAGTTCCTTTTAACTTTCAACACGACATAAATTTTAACAAAACTGTTCACATAACACTTATAACACACCGCTGACAAATATTTCTGCGTTTAACACGGATTACAAATCATTTAACTTATTTTATGAGGCCACAACACTATAGCTGAGCAACAGGCTGACTGACCAAGTTGAAACTGGTGCGGATTGCGACGCAATGTTTTGATACGCAACAACACGAGAATTCGAGAAAATATGAATGAAACCCGAGTGAAGCTAGCCACAGAAATGCGAAATGACATTCTTGGCAAGAAATTGTCAAATTGTACAAACACAATTCATTTATCCTTTCTAAGTTAATAACATTAAAAATATCAGGTAGGTACTGCTTAGTGTAAACGTTTTCATTAACTAAATAACGAAAATAATCCTTTCATAAAAGAAAAATAATGAGTACCAGCAAGAACAATCACATTTCCAAGGATGAGGGTAAAACTATTTTAAAGTTTATTAAAACTAACAATTGAATGTTGGTAATTGTTTAAATAATTTCGTCATTTCAATATTGTTTTTGTGATTTATTAAAACTTTCTGACATTAGAGACATACACTTGGGCCACAGATTATAGAAGCTACACAACAATTTTTTTGTCTGTGGGTGTCATGGAGTACCATAGGTGGAGTGGCCCTATTGGCTTACAAAAATTGCTCTAAGATGAAATCGAGAGGCATTAATGACAACACAATAAGCTTTCAACAACAAATAAAGAGTTTCTTTGATTTCTTTCTTGATGTTTGAAGACATAAGTACATGATGGAAAATTTTGCTCAAAGAAAACGTTCCTTTATTTTTTAAAAGAAAGAAAACTGCAAAGATTTTCAAAAATCTTTCCACACCCAAGAATTGAACCGACTAAAATCTGTTAAAACTACACCCTGTACTTTTATTGCATCGATCGTTAGGGTTCAATTTTAAGGACGTAATGAAACTTGGAGAAATGAAAGGTTAAGCATGAAATGTTTAATTATTTACAATTAAAATCAAAAGATTGAGTATGTATGAGGAATCATCATAAATGTTGTTTACATGGTAGCGCCATCTGCATTTAAGTTCTAAGCTTGAATTGTTGGCAACACTGATGATGACTGTCTGTCTATTTCCTATGTATTACTTTTCTCTATGTGTCTATCATTGTCTATGGCTGACGGGGACGACGCCGCCATATTTATTTAGCGGCGCGCCATTTTGGTATTTTCGGACGAAAGCGACGCATCGGCATCGGTTTTACTTGTATTGCAAATATTATTTGTATTTTCTCCAGATATGGGTAAAAAAGACAAAAAAGGTGAAACCAGTGATGGTTCCAGTGAAGAAGAATATGTTGTTGAGAAGGTCCTAGACAAACGAACTGTGAAAGGGAAGGTTAGTATTCAAGCTCCGACTCCGGTTTTGTGATGGTGTTCCAGATTCTGGCGTGGTCTCTAGACCATCTCTAGATGCTCATTTGATTTGCCGCCAAGTTCGCTAGTGTGGTAAATCGTAGTAACTAAAATAAATAATCCTACTCGTTTAGATCACGCCGTTTATTTTTATGATGATATGTTGGCGATTCTTGGTTCAAAATCTCAAAAATTAGTCCATACCATACATATCAAACCAAGTTCTAAGTAATAGTCTTTTGCAGGTGCAATATCTGTTGAAGTGGAAAGGATATAAGGAGGAAGAGAGTACATGGGAGCCAGAAGAAAATTTGGATTGCGAGGACTTGATAAAAACTTTTGAAACTGCTCGGAAAGAGAAGGAAAAAGAGGTTTGTACTACTTTTTATTATGATATTGAATGAAAGAGTATTTAGTTCTGTTACTAAATTTTAGTGTACAAGTTATTTAATGATAAAACAATCTTGAAATTGAGACTAGTAGGTATTTTAGTCACAAATACATGCAGGGAATTGTATTGTTATATTGTAATAACAGAGTAGAATTAATTTGCTTGTAAGCTTGACAGCAATTGTTAAATCTGTCAACAGAAATCAAAGAAACCCGAGGACCGTGGTAAAAAGCGCGTCCGTGAGTCGAGCGAGGAAACAAGTTCTGGGCGCAAGGGCCGTGGTGCTAGTGTCTCCTCCGTTGAAGAACCCAAAGAATCAAAACGTGATCGAAAAGAAGAGAAATCTAAGTCTGGCTTCGAGAAAGGCCACAAGGCTGAGAAGATCATAGGTAACTATAGAAATTCATATTTCCTTACAAATTAGGTACAGCAATTTCAATTGTATTTGAAGGTGTATGCGTAAACGGTGTGTTTGCATAAATAAAATATTTGTATTTGAAATTCAAATTCTATGAAGAAGAAAATAATTTCTATTTTAATTGGAATACTTTAGCTTTCAGTTTTCAAATATTTATACAATTGAAACCATTTGCAAGTTTGTTAAAACTGTGTTACTTATGTAAATTGTTATTCCGTACAGGCGCGTCAGATGCAACAGGAGAGCTCATGTTCCTGATCAAGTGGGCAGAGACCGACGAGGCAGAGCTTGTGCCTGCTAAAGTCGCCAATGTGAAGTGTCCGCAGCAAGTGAGTATTCTAATAACAATGTTATTATAATAAAGAGTTAATTTATGTTTTGGCATTAATTATTAAATTTTTAAAGGGTTATCCATCAAATCTTTAATGTATGTGCAGTTATCTTAACTTAGAAACATACTTGGAGATTTTGCCATAAGGCTGCATACTTTACGTGGACAAGATGTGCCTCTACTACCGTTGACAGCTTTCAAATTCTTTCAGGTGATTGCATTCTACGAGGAAAGGCTAACGTGGCATACTCCGGCCGAGTCCGAGTGAATCGATGTTTAACGGTGTTAGTGTAAGGACTACAGTGGCACTGCTGTGTCAACCAGCATGAGTGTCAGACAAAATACGCCCTCAGGCCCCCATTCTTTGTAAAAGTATTTTGACTAGTAAAATAGATGTTAATTATTAATTGTGGGTTGATTGAACATGTGTGAATTACGGTATAATTACAATTACTTTTTTATTCCAGCTAAATACAGTGCACCAGTGTTTAGAATAAGATTTGCATTGCTGAACAAATTGCATTGACATTCTAATACATATCATGGATATTTTTGAATTACCAAATTTTATTTATAGCTGACGAGATATTCTGCTATGCTATTCAATACTGTCAAGAGTGTCAAGGTACTTAGTTAAATAAATAATTATCTGATTACTTGTTGTCCAGTTAAGTTATGTTAGTTAACACTTAATACAATATTCACCAAGTTAAGTTTTTTCTGATTAGTAAAACAAAAACCAATCTTTGGCCAATTTTTCGTAATTGAAATACTAGTACACTTGCGTAATTGTCGATATTGTATAAATAAACGAATCTCAAGACTGGTCTTTGGATGGAGATTTCCTGTGAGTGTGACTCAGTGACAATGAGCTTCCACCTATTATTTAAAACTGTATAAGATGCCATAATTGCAATGTTACTGAAAGGCACATAAAAATGAAACATTTACTACTGATATGCATCACACTCTTCTATTCAAAGTATTACACACAAAATAATAATAATTCACTGACTATCTTAATGCTTGCTCAGTTATTGTTAAGAATGTACTATGTGGACATAGACAAGTTGTTTTGATTGATATTATGCACTATTTTCTGTGTTGACTGCATAAAAGCATACCAGGCTATCTCGTTGCAAAGTGGCATTTAGTAGATTTATATTGATTTGATATAATTATTCATTCATGTTAAAGACATAAAATATTACAAATCTCAGTTAATTTAATTTTCTCATCTTCCATTAGTTTTTAGAAGTGTTCAGTATTTAAGTAGCATTGCTGTACATGTAAATATGGGAATATTCAATGAAATAATCTGAACACTCATAAAATTTGACAGGTTTGTTTTGTGAAGACAAATGTTTAAAGACTGCCTGAAAGAAATATTGTGGCTCCGTGATTTGTGTGCAAGTCACTTAGGTACTTTATTAATAGTAAAAAACATTATTTCATAAAATGTGTTTTATTTATATCACATTAAAATAAATACTACATTGACATAGAAAAAATACTTGTAATATTGTGTTCTTCCATCAGGAATCTTACAATAGTTATGTCTACTTGTAAATTAACAACACGTAATAAAGTGGGACTGAAAACTCCGTCTTATTTCTTTTCAATTTGCATACCTACATAAAGAATGAAAGGAGATGGAAACAATTTTGTTTTTCATTTATGCAGTGTGAAGGTCCATACTGTTTTATAATCATTAGGCGGGAAATTGATTTGAATTATATTGCGCTTTATTTCTTTATAGGATTACTTAGGATTATTTTATTTAAACTAAAATGTACTGTCATATTTTACTAATAGTATCTATTCTAGGCATTTTATTTGTGGCTAAATGTTTTGATTTTAGAGGAATTCAAATATTTTTTTTCGAAATCAGCAAGTTTTTATTGTCTTGGATAAACTAGGAAAAGGTGTGTTTTTAATAAAGCTATATGAAGAAATTCATAGGTGTAAGAGTATTTGTTAGATTAATCTCAAAGGGTCACCACATTGAGTGACTATGGTATGTCATTTTATGGTAAAAAGATATAAAAAATATCAGTCCATTTTATGACCTTAGTAAATTAACACATTCCGCTTGGTGAGTTGGTATGTGTGTTTCTTTGGAAACCTGCCATTAGATTATAACTTTGAATTGAATATATTATATTTCAAAGTTACTTTCAATCAAATACGGGATTACGATCTACATCTAAAGGACACTTCTTTAACCCATTCAGGTTGTTTTCTTGACATTAATACCATTCATCTCTTTCCATGTGGTGCCTAAAATGTTAGATTATAATATGTGCATATTTAAATATAATACGTTACATAAATATCAAATAGATTTAGATCACAATATAAATTTGCTTCGTCTTATAACTAAGAATAGATTAAATGCAGATGTCATGGTTTGTTGCGTAGTGAATGTGCGCTTACGCTTGGAACTTGTAATCTGGTTTGCTGACGCCATTGCTGGAACAAAATGTTTTTTTGAAAAACTTCTTTGAAGTAGATGTCGCAATTACCATCATGATTTTACTATCACATGACACTTATAAATACATACACTAGATTTTTCCAGCGGTTTCGCTCGCGAGAAATTTTAATTTTGTCACTGTAAGATCGACACATGAAGGATTACGCCGACACGTGATTGTGTTCATCCAACTATGATTATGTGCCTGAGGTATGGCAGCGGCACATTGACATTATGACGTGACACAGCATACAAATCTGAAGGAGATTAGAAGTCTCGTTGACGTTTGACTGTCAGAAAACACCTTCCTGTGCCGCTCCTGTTAAGGCTAGACCTATAACAACTGACAGCTCCCTGTGTGGACCCTTACCTGAGCTGCGCGACGTGCGAGGGCGGCGCGAGGTGAACCGCGAGAAGTTGCGTTCTAGCTTGGCTGGTACTCAAACAGCCTCCAGTGCCGCTCCTGTTAAGGCTAGAACTAAAACATAGCTCCATATTATGTGGAGCCTCACCTGAGCTGCGCGATGAGATGCGTGATAAGTTGCGCTCCAACTCGGCTGGTACAAACACCCTCCCGTGCCGCTCCTGTATAGTGTGGTCTGCGAGCACGTAGAATCTTGTCCAATGACCCCAAGCTACCCATCCTTATCGCTCGCGCGTAATTATGTTGTTGTCGCGCTCGCACACTCACTGCGGGCGCCCGTCGCACAGTCGCGACAGCAATATAATTACGCGCTAGCGATAAGGATGGGTAGCTCGGGGTCATTGGACAAAATTCTACGTGCTCACAGACCGGGCTTTAGACTTACAACATGGCTCCCTGTGTAGAGCCTTACCTGAGCTGCGCGACGTGCGAGGGCGGCGCGAGGTGAACCGTGAGAAGTTGCGCTCGAGTTCGCGCTGGTACAAACACCCTCCCGTGCCGCTCCTGTTAAGGCTATAGTCTGGTCTGCGAGCACGTAGAATCTTGTCCAATGACCCCAAGCTACCCATCCTTATCGCTCGCGCGTAATAATGTTGCTGTCGCGCTCGCACACTCACTGCGGGCGCCCGTCGCACAGTCGCGGGAAGCAGGGAAGCGCTGGATGCAGGTCGCTATCAATCGATCAACGTGGAAAGCATTAGGGGAGGCCTATGTTCAGAGTGGACGTCCTATGGCTGAAATGATGATGATGATGATGATGATAAGGATGGGTAGCTTGGGGTCATTGGACAAAATTCTACGTGCTCACAGACCGGGCTTTAGACTTGTAACATGGCTCCCTGTGTAGCCTTACCTGAGTTGTGCGACGTGCGAGGGCGGCGCGAGGATAAGCGGCGCGAGGCGCGACGTGAACCGCGAGAAGTTGCGCTCGAGTTCGCGCTGGTACAAACACCCTCCCGTGCCGCTCCTGTTAAGGCTAGACCTATAACATGGCTCCCTGTGTGGAGTCTTACCTGAGGATGAGCGGCGCGAGGTGAACCGCGAGAAGTTGCTCTCCAGCTCGCGCTAGTATTGACACCCTCTCGTGCCGCTCCTATCGTTAGACCTATTCAAATCACGTCGGGGTCACCACTTTAGGTTATTTGATGCGTTGGGTTAATGTATAAGTTACTACTATACTATCTATTCGACTTCACCTGAAGGTTTGGGAGATAAGGACATAAAAGGGAAACAACGACCAGTTCACGTATTGGCGTGTAATCGACTCAAAAAGACAGCGACGGGCGCAGCCGCCGCAACGCACACATACAACTAAGTTCGGGCACGGTGTAGGCACCCATACACGCCGGTATTCCTCTTATTACACTAGCTAGGCAAACGATGTATCTAGGTGTAATGTGCCCCTACAACACATAATAGCTCCCTGTGTAGAGCTTAGAGCTATAACAACAGCCCCCAGTGTGTTTCTCACCTGAGTTGCGCGACGTGCGAGGGCGGCGCGAGACGCGACGTGGACCGCGAGAAGTTGCGCTCCAGATCGCGCTGGTACTTAATCACCCTCCCGTGCCGCTTCTGTTAAGGTTAGATTTATAACAACAGCTCCCTGTGTGGAGCCTCACCTGAGCTGTGCGACGTGCGAGGGCGGCGCGAGGATAAGCGGCGCGAGACGGGAGGTGAACCGCGAGAAGTTGCGCTCGAGTTCTCGCTGGTACTCGCGCTGGTCGCTGCCGATCAGGTTCTTGTTCTTGCGCAGCGCGTCGTGGCATCTACGGGAGAGTATGACGTCAGTATCCAGTATTCAAATAAGTTAAGGGCTGATTTTTCAATGAGGGCTATCGTTTTAGCGCCACTGTAGAGTAAGGTCCTGTCACTTGCTAGTAGCGAAGACAGTGGCGCCAACTTGTGAGCGCTAAAGTGGTAGGAGGACTATCGCATTTGCACTCATCAAGATGGCGCCACTGTAGAGTAAGTCCTGTCAATCGCCAGGGGTGCCAACTGTTAAGTATAAAAACGATAGCCCTCATTATCGGATAACTTTTAACTGAAGAATAAGTTTGGCACATTGACAGTTTCAGTATGGGAAATATGTCAAAACGACAATTTTGTTCTTCACATAAAAGTTATCCGACGGTTGAAAAATGAGCCCTAAGTCGAATAAAATGCAATACAAACAATATTACTTTTTAGAGAAGTCCTTGAACGCCAGCCGCAGTTTGTTCGTGAGCCGCGTGGGCGGCTGCGTGCCTTCAGCCACGGGTGCGAGGAAAACCTGGGAAATTAAATTAAAATTAGATCTAAAGCTGGATCTAGGTTGACGTTTCATCACCTTTGCTAATCACGACCAAAATGAACGCGGCGGAATTAAACACACGATCACAATCCTACAGCGTCGTCAGTACTAAATTATCTGCCGCTGACGACGGCGTTGCAGTGCGGTGCTTCATAGAACATTGTGTTTATTCGTACGCTCGACCGATGTACGCGACCGACGTCAGCGTAGGTGGAACTCAAGCCTAAAGGCTGATTTTAGAATCGCGCTGACGCAAGTTGACCGTCGGCGCTGACAGCCAAAATGTATTGAAGCATCGGCACCGAGCGATCAGCGTCAATCAGGAACGTTTCCTTTAATTATAATTACATATTGATTTGTCAGCGCCGACATCGACAATGAGGGTTTTCGCGATTGAAAAATCCGCCAGATGGTAATACGTAGACGCAAGGTCCAAATACTGTATGCCGTTTGGTGTAGTGGTTCGACCGTTTGGTGTAGTGGTTCGAAACAAACTACTATTGCGGAGGTAGCGGGTTCGATTCCCGCACAGTACAAACATTGGTGTGCATGAACATATTTGTTTGTATTGGACTGGGTGTTTTCTATGTATAATAAGTATGTATTTACAAAAAAAAAGTATTTAAGTATATTTATATCCGTTGTCTAGTACCCATAGTACAAGCTTTGCTTAGTTTGGGACTAGAAGCGCAGTGTAAAATGTCTAAGGATATTTATTTATTTGTATGATTGGTTATTTTTGACATGACATTGACGGATATGTCAAAATCCACCAATCATGCAGCATTTGGACCTCGCGTCTACGTATTGCCATCTGGCGGATTTTTCAATCGCGAAAACCTTCATTAGCGAGCGGTCAGCGCGATTCTACCCGCCTAATGACCCTTGTCCCACCGATGATGGCGATGTATGGGCGTGTTACCTGCGCCAGCTCTAGCGGGCCCTGGTTGACGGTGGTGCCGATGCAGCCTTGCACCACCATCTGCAGCATCTTGGGATCCGCCGGCTCTTGGCTGGTGGCCGCTGCCAGCTCGTTAATCTGAACAATACAATACAGCAGGACGTCATTATAGAACATTGCAAAAACATTTAATTTTGTACAAACATGTCCACCATTTTTTGACGCATGTCTTTGGTCGGCATAATGTTAAATCACGTGGACGTGTTAATATTGTTTGTTATTGAGTGTAATTAAAACACACCTTTTTCTGTATATCTTCGATAGCCACCTCGATGGGAGAGAGAATGATTTGAGTTCTCTGCACCACCTGTAATAAATAAAATAATATTTCAAATACCATTACATATTTCTTTGATTGATTTTTTTATATACCTTTGTCAACCGTTTTTAAACAATTTATTGAAAAAAAGTTATTAATTTTAATAAAAAGAACATTTTGACATCTTGACGAGACCATTATAAGCACGCCATCTTACTGAAGTATGTGCCAAATAAATCTAACATTTAAGGCGATTATCACACTGCACCGCGCTCCGTCGCGGTCCGCATGGCGACATATAACGAATCCCGCGCGCAAACGCGTTGCAGTGTGTTGTGCCGCGCGTGTTTTCTATACAAACTAAGGTACTAGCATATGATGATTAAATCTGTCGTCCCGCGTACCACGGCGGAGATCGGTGCAGTGTAATAATCGCACCGAACAATAAGCAATGACGTCACCTGGATGCGTGTCTTGACGTAGGGGAAGTGGTGCGCCGTGGTGAGGATGGTCTTGGTTCCCGCCCAGCGTGAACAATAAGCAATGACGTCACCTGTATGCGCGTCTTGACATCGACGAATGAAAACGGTTCCCCGAATGCGGGCCCTGTGGCATGCGTTCCAGAAATCTCCCGCACGCCGCATGCGGATCCTATCGACTAGTGAAATTGCGCCATAAGGGCGCGCAATAGGGGGTGTATGTGTAAAGCCTGGTCCATGAGCACGTAGAATTTTGTCCAATGACCCCAAGCTACCCAACCTTATCGCTCGCGAGTAATTATGTTGCTGTCGCGCTCGCACACTCACTGCGGGCGCCCGTCGCACAGTCGCGACAGTAATATAATTACGCGCGAGCGATAAGGATGGGTAGCTTGGGGTCATTGGACAAAATTCTACGTGCTCACGGACCGGGCTTTAATGAACAGTGATGACGTCACCTGGATGCGCGTCTTGACGTAAGGGAAGTGGTGCGCCGTGGTGAGGATGGTCTTGCGCTTGCACTGCTCGGCGATGTCGCCGTGCGCGCGCCCGCCCACCGTGAACGGAGTCGCGTACATGAACCGCTCTGCAACACATCATATTATGCAGCTCTTTTTAAAAGGGAGATGTAGGTAGAACAAAATATATGTGTGCTTAAAAACTGGATGCTCAATAAATCAATAAAGTATGGCCGAAGATTTCTCTTCTTGTTTTTCGATAGCGATAATGGGGGCTTAGTGTGAGTTTACATCAAACGTATTCGATATCGACTACATAAAAAAATTACATTAAATGTATGACAGATTGTACGTACAGCCACAGAATAATAATAAGTACTACGTACAGAAGTTTTACTTCGCGAAGGTATTTAAAAAAATTTATGCTCAAGGCCATTAACAATATGGTGTAATTTAGCCTGTCTCAAGAGTCAAGCACCATTCTGTTGACAAACGACAGTGATCGGCGCTGCGCCGAAGCTATAGGGCTGACTTCGGTAAAATGATGTGACGTGAGGTGCCAAACTGCGGAAAAAGGCGGAGGAAATACATGATTTAGCATGAATTATCATGAATAATACTTATTTACCTCTCAGTGTCTTGAGGCAACTTAAAAAAGTACATTCTGTGTTTTTATTATTATTTAGGCAGTTAAATACTGAACAGTATTTAGTACACCATTTTCTTTATTTTCTTCCATCATACACAAGAATACGCGTGCGTGAGTCAATGTTCACTCGTATGTGAGGCCTTGTCGAATAGTATCCTGTAGGTGGGACATCGTGCGTGTTTTGTTTTCGATGTAAACTCGCGGAGATGAACAGGCCTGGTACAGCGTCCCTAGTGGATACTTTCAAGAACTAAAATCTTCATAGATTTTTTCAACGCACTCGATATCGAATACATTTGATGTAAACTCACACTATGCCCCCTGTAAAGGACAAGTTTTTAAGTAAGGAGTAACCTATTTGACACTACTCAGAACTGGTGAACGAGGATTAAAAGAATAGTAGCTCAACACAAACTTGCAACGTTATACACCTACATATTTTTAAGCCAAGACATTATAATCTTTTTAGTGTCATTCGCTTTCCATTTTTTTCATGTTCAAGTAATGCTATACGATTTTGAATCTTATACTCACTAATATTAAAGTTCCTCTCGAAGTGCGTGACCCTCTTGCGCAGCTCGTGTGGCTCGAAGTAGGGCTCCACGTACGTGATCTGGATGTAGGCCTTGTCTGGCTCGAGCGTGGTGACGTCCACGATGTTCGAGTCCTTGATGATCACCACGTTTTCTGTGCCGAAGCGGGCGCCGTAGAAGTTCTAGCGGGACAGCATAATAGTTAAAATTTGCTGGCACGGGACTATTCCCACCTCTCTTTCCTACCGCTACAACTCGTGTGTAGCCAGGATCTACAGTTTGACCGGCAAAAAAAACACAACCAGTGAAGGGTTTGCTGATCAAAAATGTTCAGGCTGTGGTAGATAATTATGATTAACAGGCAAAGATGGCGAAATATCGTGAGGCGTTGCTCGTCTCCTGCCGAACATGCCCACTCTATCAACAGTGTAACAACGGAGAAGAGGTCATGAAGAATGAGAGATTTCAGTGTTATCTTGTAGATAAAAACGGCAGAGAAGTGAGAGCTTCGCCTATCACCTCAATGACCGTCAGCATCCGAGTCATTAAGGGGCTTCCACAACTGGATATTGGAGTGTCTCACAGCTTTTAAATAAAGGCACATAGCGGCGGCAATTTATTGTTTACAACTAACTACACACGCCCTTAACAGAGTAACTAAAGGGAAGTTTTGCAACTCAAAAGGTCAATAGTTACAATGGATCGCATGTAATATCTAGGTCTTCTAATCTAGGATCCAAACTCTTTACTCGCCCTACTCGAACAAAAATTGGCACTTTAAACTTTAATAATTTGCAAACAGATCCCTAAATGGAAAAATAGTCTTAGAACCCCCCAAGCCATTTTTTAGACCTATCCAACGACACCCCACTCGATGGGGTAGAAGATGAAAAAAAAATTATGCCACTTTACAATGTAGGGGAACCCTAAAAATTTTTTTTTTTCAAAATTTTATTTTACCGTTTTGTCGGCGTATTTAATATACATACCTCCACAAAATTACAGTTCTCTAGTGCCAATAGTTTCCAAGCAAAACCTCGGACAGACAGACAGACATAACGAAACTATAAGGGTTCCTTGTCAGGACTACGGAACCCTAAAAAGGTCAATAGTTATAATCGCGTGTTAGTCCATGTTGTATTTATAATGAATACCTCAAGCCGGCTGAAGATCTCCGGCAGCTTGGTGAGCGCGTGCTCCTTGTAGACGAACTCCTCCCCGCTGAGGTCCCCGAAGCGCGCGCCGTAGAACGACACGCGGAAATACGTGCCGAACACGCGCTTGCCGTGCAAATGCTCGTCCCAAATATAGCTTGCTCTACCACCACTTCGGGACAACATATGGGCTGGCGCTGAGAAGTGGCAGAAGAAACTCGTTGACGGTCTCGTACATGCCAGCCGTCATCAGTTGCTGGCCTGTGTCTGTGGCTGCCTGTGTTTGTGGCTGCCTGAGTCTGTGGCTGGCTGTGTCTGTGGCTGCCTGTGTCTGTGGCTAGCTGAGTCTGTGGCTGGCTGAGTCTGTGGCTGGCTGTGTCTGTGGCTGGCTGAGGCTGTGGCTGGCTGTGTCTGTGGCNGGCTGGCTGTGTTTGTGGCTGCCTGTGTCTGTAACTGCTTGTCTGTAGCTGCCTGTGTTTGTGGCTGGCTGTGTCTGTGGCTGCCTGTGTCTGTGTCTGCCTATGTCTGTGGCTGACTGTGTCTGTAACTGCTTGTCTGTAGCTGCCTGTGTTTGTGGCTGTTGTGTCTGTGGCTGCCTGTGTCTGTGTGCCTGTGCATGTTAGTCCATGTATTTATATTGAATACCTCAAGCCGGCTGAAGATCTCCGGCAGCTTGGTGAGCGCGTGTTCCTTGTAGACGAACTCCTCCCCGCTGAGGTCCCCGAAGCGCGCGCCGTAGAACGACACACGGAAATACGTGCCGAAGACGCGCTTGCCGTGCAACTGCTCGATGCGGCTGAAGGCCTCGTTCAGTTTGCTGGTAAATAACAAGAGTTAGAGAGTCGCACAAATATAAACCTTAATACTTGGTAATACAGTAGAATCCGATTGTAACGATGATATTACGTCGTACTAAAGAAGTATTTTTTTACGTTTTTTCTCAACAAATCAACCAAACAGCGTCGCTAAAAGCGATCGGTCGTTATATGCGACATCGTACTAAACGGATTCTATAGCCTGACCAGGAACATAAAAACCCTCGCCATGTTGCGGAAAACTAATGGTACTAATTTCTTTTAATGGCAACAGTAACTGAAAACTTCATTGACATGTCACCTTGCATGTCAGTCTATTGTTGTCAAAGTGTAAACAAACTTTATTTTAAATGTGTGCAATTGATTTTGTGAATTAAATTGCTAAAATATTTTTATAGTCGTGAAAGAAAAGTGGTTCACGATGTGTTAATGTATTTGTCGAAGAGAAATACTAAGGGTTCGGACAATATTTTCATTAAATAATGTTTCCGACAAAGGTTGTCAAATTGACTGACATGTTTATCGTATTGTGTCTGTGGCTGCCTGTGTCTGTGGCTGGCTGAGTCTGTGGCTGGCTGTGTCTGTAACTGCTTGTCTGTAGCTGCCTGTGTTTGTGGCTGTTGTGTCTGTGGCTGGCTGAGTCTGTGGCTGGCTGTGTCTGTGGCTGCCTGTGTCTGTGGCTGCCTGTGTCTGTAACGGCTTGTCTGTAGCTGCCTGTGTTTGTGGCTGTTGTGTCTGTGGCTGCCTGTGTCTGTGGCTGCCTGTGTCTGTGTGCCTGTGCATGTTAGTCCATGTTGTTATAATGAATACCTCAAGCCGGCTGAAGATCTCCGGCAGCTTGGTGAGCGCGTGCTCCTTGTAGACGAACTCCTCCCCGCTGAGGTCCCCGAAGCGCGCGCCGTAGAACGACACGCGGAAGTACGTGCCGAACACGCGCTTGCCGTGCAAATGACGTAGGTCTGGCGTTCACCAGCTCTTAGTCTATTTCGTTTAACAGCTCGTGGTTGTTGCTTTATTTCGAAGGAACCCATGGTTCTTCCTGCTTCACGGCGTACGAACCGAATCTCGGGAGAGCGCGCGGGAACTTGCTCTGGGCTCATTTCCCCGGGCGCTTTGCTTGACTCCCTACAAATTTATCTGATCCATGTCCCTTCTCATAGTCAATTCTCCCCCTTCTGGGGCTTGACACCACAAATACGGTACTTCGCGCCGGGCTGCTATCGTTGATAAATGTCATCAGTTCTTCTCATAACTTCGCCTGATTGTGTGCCAGGAGTGCGCGAACTCGCGCAGCGCGATCCAGTTACTGCGACTACTCGTGAGGTCCTGGTGATAAACAGGTCCTTGCTCGGCTCTCCGTATCGCATCCAGCATCATTCCGAAGGGATATTAACTTTACGGTCTTACCTCAAGTCTGCTGAATATCTCTGGCAGCTTGGTGAGCGCGTGTTCCTTGTAGACGAACTCCTCCCCGCTGAGGTCCCCGAAGCGCGCGCCGTAGAACGACACGCAGAAATACGTGCTGAGGACGCGCTTGCCGTGCAAATGACGTAGGTCTGGCGTTCACCAGTTCTTAGTCTATTTCGTTTGACAGCTCGTGGTTGTTGCTCTATTCGTGCCGAACACGCGCTTGCCGTGCAAATGCTCGTCCCAAATATAGCTTGCTCTACCACCACTTCGGGACAACATATGGGCAGGTGCTGAGAAGTGGCGGAAGAAACTCAGTCACCTGTATACGTCGTTGACGGTCTCGTACATGACAGCCGTCATCAGCTGCTGGCCTGTGTCTGTGGCTGGCTGTGTCTGTGGCTGTTGTGTCTGTGGCTGCTTGTGTCTGTAGCTGCTTGTGTCTGTGGCTGTTGTGTCTGTGGCTGGCTGTGTCTATGGCTGGCTGTGTCTATGGCTGGCTGTGTCTGTGGCTGCCTGTGTCTGTGGCTGGCTGTGTCTGTGGCTGCCTGTGACTGTAGCTGCTTGTGTTTGTGGCTGGCTGTGTCTGTGGCTGTTGTGTCTGTGGCTGCCTGTGTTTGTGGCTGTTGTGTCTGTGGCTGCCTGTGTCTGTGGCTGCCTGTGTCTGTGTGCCTGTGCATGTTAGTCCATGTTGTTATAATGAATACCTCAAGCCGGCTGAAGATCTCCGGCAGCTTGGTGAGCGCGTGCTCCTTGTAGACGAACTCCTCCCCGCTGAGGTCCCCGAAGCGCGCGCCGTAGAACGACACGCGGAAGTACGTGCCGAACACGCGCTTGCCGTGCAAATGCAGGATGGGTGACCGACCTGCAGCAGCTTGTCGGCTGTGGGCCGCTTCTTGGGGTTCTTGGTGAGCGCCAGCTTGAGGAAGGCGTGGAACAGCTGCGACCAGCGCTCGCGCTCCTTCAGCGGCGGCGGCTTGAAGCCCGACTTGACGCGAGGCTCACGGGACAATGGAACCTAATCGCTTGTACGTAGAGTCTCATTTTGTTTACACTGCTTACCCTTACCTTAAAAGAACCAAGATGAAAAGGAGAGGGCTCACAGGATAATGGAATCGAGTCGCTTTAAAACACCTGCACGTAAAGTCTCATATTGCTTGCACTGCTTACTGACCGGATCTTAGTGACAAAGATGAAAAGGAGCGAGCGCGTGTGTGAGATACTAAGGACATGGCCATGACACTGAGTGTCTAAGGACATGGCCATGACACTGAGAGTGTCTAAGGACATGGCCATGACACTAAGGGTATCTAAAGACATTGCTTGTCACGCGTATGCTGTTCCATCAGCTATAGACACTTGTTGATGGATCTTAGCGTCCTTTGGGTTAGTAGTGCAGCACCAGGATGGGTGACCGACCAACAAGAGCTTATCCTCCATCCATCAGTAGACATTTACAGCTGAACAACTGACGATCAAACCTAGTGGNTCGGGACAACATATGGGCAGGTGCTGAGAAGTGGCGGAAGAAACTCAGTCACCTGTATACGTCGTTGACGGTCTCGTACATGACAGCCGTCATCAGCTGCTGGCCTGTGTCTGTGGCTGGCTGCGTCTGTGGCTGTTGTGTCTGTGGCTGCTTGTGTCTGTAGCTGCTTGTGTCTGTGGCTGTTGTGTCTGTGGCTGGCTGTGTCTATGGCTGGCTGTGTCTATGGCTGGCTGTGTCTGTGGCTGCCTGTGTCTGTGGCTGGCTGTGTCTGTGGCTGCCTGTGACTGTAGCTGCTTGTGTTTGTGGCTGGCTGTGTCTGTGGCTGTTGTGTCTGTGGCTGCCTGTGTTTGTGGCTGTTGTGTCTGTGGCTGCCTGTGTCTGTGGCTGCCTGTGTCTGTGTGCCTGTGCATGTTAGTCCATGTTGTTATAATGAATACCTCAAGGCGGCTGAAGATCTCCGGCAGCTTGGTGAGCGCGTGTTCCTTGTAGACGAACTCCTCCCCGCTGAGGTCCCCGAAGCGCGCGCCGTAGAACGACACGCGGAAATACGTGCCGAACACGCGCTTGCCGTGCAACTGCTCGATGCGGCTGAAGGCTTCGTTCAGTTTGCTGCCAAACAACAAGAGTTTAAAGGCTGATGTACTTCAATTTGGTTATTCTTACCGATAGATAATTAATGGGAAATAGTGGTGACTGAGTTTGTTCCGGCGTTTCTTCTCAGCACTTGTCATATTAATAATAATAATATAATAAATAAATAAATTAATTTCTGTATAACTTAGCCCAGTTAAGTACACGTTTGGTTACATAATGATAATGTGGACATACATACAACAACATAATGATAATGGATAATGTTTGTCTCGAAGCGCTGGTAGGGCCCAAAAGATAAGGAGACATGTAGGGCTACCATTTTTTTACTGTATTTGACGTTCACAAGTGCCACCAGTAGTCAAAATTGAATAATATTTTTGATTTGATTTGATTTGGCGGTTCCGAATCGAGTTGCCCAATGCAAGGGCAAGGGCAGGGATTACCTAACTTATTCGAGACGCACCCCCTATCGACTAACGACAATATAGGACCCCCACACTAGCGTCTGTCTTTCGAGTGTCGTCGTTTTTCCAGTCGACTAGTTGACGACGTTCGAAAGAGGGCAGTGTAAGGGAGGCCTTTGAAGTCTCACATCGGATGTATACATTTTTGATAGAAAATAGCCTATATTGCAACGAGATAAGACGCAAGTGCAGAAAAGTTCTCGAGTGGCGACCACGGGCCGGAAGACGACGAATCGACGAATTTTGCTGAAGGTCGCCGGTAGAACCTAATTGCGGGCAGCGCAGGACTGGTTGTTATGGAAATCCTTGAGGAAGGCCTTTGTCCAGCAGTGGATAAGTGGATGGCATTTGGCTGAAACGAACGAAGACGCCAGTTAACGTGCTATCGTCCGTACCTATGCGAGAAGCTAAATCAAAGCTACCTGTGTATGTTGGCGAGCTTCTTGTAGTCGCGCAGCTGCTCGGCGATGGGGATGAGCACCTTGTACACCTCGTTGACGGTCTCGTACATGCCCGCCGTCATCAGCTCGCTCGCCGCGTGCTCCAACAAGGCCTAGAGGAATCACATAAACATTATTATTGTATTCATTGTTCAAATAACGTCCATGATAAAGATGAGACGTATTTACTAGAACAGATCCACACACTAGGTATTTTACAGTACTAGGCGGCACCTATTCCAATTTTTTAAATACTTGATCCACCTAGTATTTCATAAATTACTCGATTTACAACCCTACCACCAAAGTAATAGAGGTTATTATTGCGTAATCCGTAGTCGTGTATTACGCGCACCTAGTATTTCTCGCTAAGTTTATGTGCGAACGTAGAGATTCACTCCGTCTCTGTCTGTCTAAACAAATTTGAGCGCGACGATGCAAACGCACACAAACGTAGTCAAACCATATGCATGTAAATTCATGTAAAAAAGAAAAAAATATGTAAACATTTTTATGAAATTGATATCTTTTAAATACGCCAACTTTTAAGTTGACAGTCTTAAGCCTGTTGAAGTATGAAGAGAGGAATTATTATTCAATTTCAAATTGCATTATTCATACTACGGTTGTATCTTTTCAAAGAAAATTGTATTTTAAAGTCATATTACGTGGATTAGTCCGCACTAGTCGCGTCAAGCATGCTAAATTACTACGTACTAGGTGGAATAGGTATTTGGATAGAGTATTAATAAATACTAGGAATAGGTGCACCTAGTATCAAATTTACCTAGTATAACCCATCTCTAGTCCATGACGTGCGGACGTATGTGTGCACATAGAGTACGAAGTACGTAAGTCAAGCATGCTAAATTACTACGTACTAGGTGGAATAGGTATTTGGATCGAGTATTAATAAATACTAGGAATAGGTGCACCTAGTATCAAATTTACCTAGTATAACCCATCTCTAGTCCATGACGTGCGGACGTATGTGTGCACATAGAGTACGAAGTACGTAAGTAGAATAGAAGATATGGGTACATCATTGGTCTGTCAAAAAAGGGAGCAAAGTGCAGCTCCAATCTAAATAAGTCCCGTGCGTTTTTCACTTGGATGTTAGTGTTAGGGTCTTGCTATACTGGCGAATTGCAAGCGGAGCGGCGACGCAGTGGGCACGCCGCGGTCGCCAAAATGCTTGAAAATGCCGCCCAGAAAACGCTTGCAATCCGCCAATGTGGCAAGGCCCTTAGTGTAACCGAAAATAAAGGAGCAAATCAAGTATCATCTTGTCTCGTCAACCTGAAATTTGAAGGACCAAAAAGTAGTCTATCAACTTCATCTCAAAAACACTGCTGACACGCAACTCTTGATGCGTAAGATAGTGGCGCAGCTCTCGTCAAGCGCACTGTGAATCACGTGCAAGTTAGTAGAACAACATAGTGACGAATCACAGAAGCGTGGCAGGGGAGATATCCTAGAAAGAACAACTTACTTGCAGCTCCTGATGTGTAAGATGGTGGTGCAAAGCATCAGCGCAATTCTCATCCAGTGCATTATGCGTGACTTTCTCCAACAGAGCCGCGGCGCGCCCGCCCGTATACGTTTGGTCCACAACCATAACCACCACAGGGACAAAAGTAGTGAGCGTGGGCTCCTGGAAAGTTCTTGCCTACTACAGCTCCTGGTATGTGAGGAGGTGGACATTGAACATCATCCTAAAAGATCTTCTCACCTGCAGGTCCTGGTATGTGAGGAGGTGGACATTTAACGTCATCCTAAAAGATCTTCTCACCTGCAGCTCCTGATGCGTCAGATGGTGGTGCAAAGCATCAGCGCAGCTTTCATCCAGCGCGTTGTGCGTGACTTTCTCGAGCAAGGCAGCACCGCGCCTAACCTAACCTACCTAAGAAGGAAGGAGAGAGAGTTTGGGATCGTGAAGAGTACCGCTCACCTGCAACTCCTGATGTGTAAGATGGTGGTGCAAAGCATCAGCACAACTCTCATCCAGCGCGTTGTGCGTGCCCGCGCCCGTTTGTTTCGCCTCCATACAGGAGCAAAGTAAAAAGAGAGAGTAGTGGAGTCTTAGAAAGTACTTACTTAGAGCTCCTAGTGAGTAAGATGGTGGTGCAGAAGAGCATTAGTGCAGTTTTCGTCGAGTACGTGCACTTTGGGTACGTACTGGCTTAGACGTTGGTAGACTAGTAGAAGAAATAACAAAAGAGAGATAGTAGGTCAAAGCACAACTGTCATCAAGTGCATTATGCGTGACTTTCTCCAGCAGCACGTCTGCTCCACATCCATAACCACCACAGGGACAAAAGAAAGACCCTAGCTACGCGTACTACGTACGTTATCACGTACACAGCCCCACAAAAGGGTTGTAGTGAGCGTGGGCTCCTGGAAATTTCTTGCCTACTGCAGCTTCTGGTATGTGAGGAGGTGGAAATTTAACGTCATCCCAAAAGATCTTCTCACCTGCAGGTCCTGGTGTGTAAGATGGTGGTGCAAAGCATCAGCGCAACTCTCATCCAGCGCGTTGTTCTCGAGCAGAGCCGCATCGCGCCTATTCATCACCCTAAAAGGATCTTCTTACTTGCAACTTCTGATGATTGAGGTGGTGGTGCAGAGAATCAGCACAGCTTACGTTAAGCGCGTTGTGAATTGTGAACCACGTGTGTACGTGGGATACATAAAGAAACATAATGTAGAGGATCGTGGACGTCAAAAGGAGAGGAAATTTCTTCTCACCTGTAGTTCCTGATGTGTAAGATGGTGGTGCAAAGCATCAGCGCAACTCTCATCCAGCGCGTTGTGCGTGACTTTCTCCAGCAAAGCGGCGCCGCGCCCGCCCGCACACGTCTGCTCCGCGACTAAGGCAGCTCCGTGAACCAGGCACATGCCTGCTTCTGCGTGGTTCGAGCGCTGTGGACACAAACGTTTAGAAGTTACATCTCTCTCCCGACTATAACATAAACTTTGTAAAGAGCCTTTATACGTCTCGTAGTTAAACAAATGAAAAAAATAACACGAATAAAAGTGGTATGAATGACTTTTTATGGGTTCGATACAGCCGCTCTGGTTCCCACCGAAGACTAGAATATAACCCACTCAGTCTTCCCATGGATGTCCCAAGAGCCAATTAAGCGACATCACGCCTCTCCAACCGTTCTGGCCAGGCCAGGGTGGGGAGTGTAAGCCAAATCCTGCATTTCCTTCTGGTGAAATAGAGTTGTGACGCGACTCGAACGACAGTCATGTTCTCGCAGTGAAGACTAAATGACCGGAGGTGCGATTGTGTAATAAAGCAACCGTGTTCATTTGATTTGCAGTTCAAAATGTACGATATTTATTTTTAACAAGCCTTTTGACAGATTATAGCGTACGTTTTGAACTGTCAAATGATTGATTGCTTTACACAATGAGGGCTATCGTTAGTATACTTAACAGTTGGCACCCCTGGCGATTGAAAGGACCTTACTCTACAGTGGCGCCATCTTGATGAGTGCAAATGCGATAGTCCTCTTACCACTTTAGCACTCACTAGTTGGTGCCACTGTCTTCGCTACTAGCAAGTGACAGGACCTTACTCTACAGTGGCGCAATCTGGTGAGCGCTAAAACGATAGCCCTCATTGCACCTCTGATGATGATACCAATTATCCAGGTCCGGATCCCGGGCCCTCCTGGAACTGCTCCATCTGCCCGTGTCCCCACTGACCTCCATATGCTTCTGCGCCATGTTGCTGAGCCACGTGAGGCGCAGGTCGGGGCTGTGCTGGTAGCCGCGCGCGATGCGGTGCATGAGATCCAAAAGCATTTCAGGGTCCTCCTGGAACTCCTTCATCTTCACCGTGTCGGACAGGATCATGTGCAAGTTGAACACCAGGTCCTTCACCTGAGAATGGAAAGAGGATCATTATAATTCCAGCTGGGCTGAGATGCGCGCCGTGATAAAATCAATGACTTTATATGGAAAATTTTTGGGGTTATCTAGGGCGCGATAAAAGCTTATCGCGGTGCGTGTATCCTATCCTATAGGTATATCATTGGAATTAGACGCATTCCGCAACGTTTTCAAATACCCCACATAATGAGGGCTATCGTTTTTACATTCAACAGTTGGCACTACTGATGACTGACATGACCTTGCTCTACAGAGACACTATCCTGGTCAGGCCGTTTGAGCGCTCACCAGTTAACTTTACTAATAGCCACTAGCAAGTGACAGAAATTTACTTTACCAGTGTCGCCAACTGGTGACCGCTAAAATGACAGCCCTTATGAAGATGCCACAGTGTTTTCCTTGATGTGTTGTCTGTACGTGACTGACTTGCTTCGGAAAGTTGGTGTCAGGGTATCAGCGACGCAGCAAAATCGTCACCGCTGCCGCTGCTGAGTTGTGTGTGTAGTCTCGTAAAGGTCGCGGGAAGAGCCTGGATGCGGGCAGCGCAGGACCGTGCATTGTGGAAAGCCTTGGAGGAGGCCTTTGTCCAGCAGTGGACGTCATTTGGCTGAAACGAACGAACGAAACGAACAGCGTTTATAACACCTTAAGTGGACGAAATGTTGACAGCACAACCTTATTAAAAATAACAAAGATGTGTTGTGAACTTATCGGTTACTTAAGGTGTCACGACCTATTTGACGCTAACTGTACGGGAACTGACCTGTTCTGGGAAGTTAGTGTCGTGCAGATCTTGATCCTTCTCAGCATACACTAGCACGGTCTTGAGCGCGCGGCGCAGTGCGTCCTCACAGAAGTTAGCTAGTATAGCGACGATAGTGACATCGTCACCTGCTGAGCTGTGTCCATGAGACTAACCTGCTCCGGGAAGTTGGTGTCGTGTAGATCCTGATCTTTCTCAGCATACACAAGCACGGTCTTAGGTACATTAAAAGTAAAGCCTGGTCCGTGAGCACTCACTGTTGCTGTCGCGCTCACACACTCCCTGCGGGCGCCCGTCGCACAGTCGCGACAGCAATATAAGGTGTTATTTTTTGTACTGATCATACTTTACCAACGCATCTAATAAAATCATACAAATACAACCCAAGTGTTTTTAAAAAAAAATTCAGGCTAGTTTTCGAGTAAAACGACAAAGAATGTTTCGAAAAAAATAAAAAATAAATCATCCTTTGAGCGCGGTATTCGTTTACGCACTATCGTAGTAGCCGGCCGAGGGCAACGACCGCTGCCACGTGCCGCGCCGCGTGAGTCGGCCATATTGATATCGCTGCCAGTCGCTCCGCACCCACAGCCCGCGCCGAGCCGCCGATCGGCATGCGGGAGCGCAACAACATAAATAATCGTACCAGTCCGTCCAATGCGCCCAAACGTGTTGCAGTCCCAAGTAACATTTTACTCCATTTAAGAGTTCACATTTAGTTCCAATGTGTACTTAAAGCATTAGTACAGTTCACTCGTGATGTATAAGCTGTATTATTGCAATTAATTACACCTATACCTGTCTAAGGGACTTATAGGAGTGTAGACTAGTGTAGAGTTATACTTTTATACGATTGTTGGTGTTATAATACTCTAACAACTATCCTTTAGTCAGCCGTCTGACTAAGAGCATTATAGGAGGGTAGAGATACGGCAACTGCTGTTTAACGGCCTACTTGTACGATGTTATAGAGCTAGCATTTTAATAGAACACACGTGGTCATTTATAAAGCCAAAGGCTGTTATGTTTACTTGTTTTAGACTGTTATACAGCTAGTAGCTGTAGTAGGACTTGTTTGTGTTAATAAAATAACCTTTTTTTACTATCTGTACAAAAGTGTTTCAATGGTTCGCATGTGCACTGTAGGCTGTTAAAAGGACTATATGTGTTGTCCATTAACATCAATAGCAGTTTATTTGTCCACAAGTACTACTCTTATTTGCTTTAAGCTGAAAATGAATGTGAATGTGATATTCTATTACACTTTTCCCCAAGCCTGTTTTTAGTTGTATTTATGGTGGTTCTGTACATGATGCAGAGGAAAATATTATGCCTGAACCTGAAAGTTCCCTTCAAAATATACAGATATCAGAGTGTGATGATTGCAGTTCTAGTGATAGTGAATACAATTTTGATTTAGACAATTATTTAACCTTTAGCAAAAAAATAAGAACATGGGCTATTGAAAATCGTATTCCTCATTCCGCTTTGAATAAATTGTCAGGCATAATAAACGAATTTAAACCGGGAACACTACCGTCTGATGCTTTAGGTATTCATACTTGACTATTAGTACCTGGGCTAGGCGATTTAACGGACATTAATAATTTTAATTGCGTGGCCGAATGCTGGCCGCTCAAAAAGCAGTACGAAAACCAATTGCACTGCGCTGAGATGAAGATGCTCAGATGGGCAGGTGGTGTAACTAGGCTGGACCATGTAAGAAACACACACATAAGAGGCACCTTTAAAGTGAGACCTATCCCAGCTAAATTGCAGGAGAGCCGTCTGCGGTGGTACGGACACGTCATGAGGCGACCACCCGACCATATGACCAGAAAAGTGCTAGACATCCAAACTAAGCCCCGCGGACGAGGAAGACCCCGAATTACATGGATGTCCGTAATCAATAACGACCTTAAAGAAGCCCAAGTTAACAGTAAGACAGCCCAGGACCGAGCCGCCTGGAGACGCGTGACGCGGAGGGCCGACCCCAAATAAAATGGGAATGGGCCAGGCAAAGTAAGTAGTAATAANTATTATGAGTCATTGGCATATCTGGGGTTTTTTTCAGGGGGGGGGGCTACCCTCACTTGAAACAGCTCCTGGGGTGGAATTATGGGGAGAAGGGGGGGGGTTTACAAATCACTTTTTTATGGGTACGAAGGGGGGGGGGTAAGTCCCCCCACATTTCTAATGGTTAATATAAATATTTTCACATATCGCTAGAAACAACAAATCTAAATTTTATGGGTACGAGGGGGGGGGGGTTAAGTTTCCCCCTCCCCTACATTTCTAATGGTTATATAAATATTTTCACATGTTGTTAGAATTAACAAATCAAAATATTATACTAGACTCACATTATTTCTTATGAATATTTCAGGTAAAATATCGTGAATTTCACATAATTATTTTATTCTAAATTTTTATTATCGTTTTTAAATTTATTAAACCCTTAATCATTATTAAAATATCCTAACTGTATGCATAAAACCTTATCCCGAAATAGGGGACATGAGTTCACGAACTTAGAAACAGAGCAAAATTTTGTCACGAAACAGGATCCAAACAAGAGGTCCGCAGAACAATTAATATAAAAAAAAGTTCAAAGTATATAACTATAAATTATGTATTAACTTACTGTCAAAAGACCAAAGTTTAGCATACAAAAGCTTTCATACTGATATCATGCTTGGTTATTTTTAAATAAAATGTTAAAGTCGTAAGAGCCTTAATATACCGAAGTAGGGGGCACTTACCTTACTAATAAAAAGTTACACAGTTGTTGATCACTGTTTTAAAATGACATTTCCATACTAAACGTCACTTCAAAACACTGATCACCGAGCGTGTAAGTTTTATTAGTAAGGGGGTAAGTTTCTTCTGACTGTCTTTTGTTTTTTTTTCTTTGTTCCCTTTGCTAATTTTGTTTCTGGCCAGTAAAATGTAAAATGACCAACCATGGTGCGTTCTGTTTTTAAAAATATTTTAAAGTTTACTACGTCATTTTTTTTTTCTTGCGGCTTTGTTTTCTTCTTTTGCAACTGGCCAATGTCAGCGCACTAGACTAAAGCAAAACCAGTGTGACCAGCTGACCAGCGTCTAATGACTAGGTTCTTTACTAAAACCTGGTCCGTGAGCACGTAGAATCCCGTCCAATGACCCCAAGCTAGCCATCCCTATCGCACGCGCGTAATTATGTTGCTGTCGCGCTCGCACACTCACTGCGGGCGCCCGTCGCACAGTCGCGACAGCAACATAATTACTTACGTGCGAGCGATAGGGATGAATAGGGATGGGTAGCTTGGGGTCATTGGACGGGATTCTACGTGCTCACGGACCAGGCTTTAGCCTATGGAACACAGTCTAAGTCTGTGATATTTATCTATCTACGAGTATGGTCTGATTCATAGTAGCTTGGATATTAAATGACAGACTAAATCGCTCGACTAATTTATGCGAAAAAATGCAAACAAATGAAATGAAATGTTTTTCCTCAGATTTTGTTTCGTGCAAATTTTAATGGCCAATCTCAGTGTCTAATTACTAGATTCCTTACTAGGACGCTTCCTCGAGTGCTGCACGCCATAAACTGATTTAAAAACTAAAATATATGACGCTTCCGTACCGTCTTTTGTTTTTTTCTTTCGTTTTTTTCGCTTACAGTTTCTTGACCAGTGTTAATTTGAGCTCTTTCAAATTACTCGTTTTGAGCCGGACGGTTGTAGTGCGGTCCTACAAACGGACGTCGTCTCAAAACGTCGATATTTGAAAGAGCCTTAATATGCTGTGACTGCTATGTTGCACATTTCACATACTAATTCATATTATGGGCGAATAGCAAATAAAAATAATAATTACTGATCATATTTTTATTATTAATACAAATAACATACCTAATTATTTTTATGACTCACAAGAAACAACTGTAGTAAGTGTTACTGTAAGTGGCACCTTATTACCAGTGTAAATGTAGCCTTAATTAACTAGGACAACAGGACTATGCACATTATGCATTTTTGGTTCTATTTATCCATTTACCCATAACCTTGTTAGCCTATTCATCATCATCACAAACTCCCGCGGTCAAAAACTTATTTGCATCCAAAATATAAGTGTCGCAGAGATTCTTGTTTTCATACTCTTCCAGCACGTCTGGATCCAGGTATTGGTTGACGATGGCAGCGCAACGTAAGTCCTTCAACACGTGCGCAAGAGTCGAGCGCAGGTTGTGGACTATGATGGGTTGCTCGGAGTACTTTTGCAGTGGCTCGGGGTAGACCACTTCGAAGTTTTCTGGGCGAATGAGGATGAGGCGAGAGCGCAAAGGTTTCAGGCGAGGTGTGTACTGAATGGTTTGGAAGAGCCTCGCTCGCGCCGCGTTGAATTGACCACGAACATACTGCGTGGACAGCGGTATATGCCCCATCAGTGCTCGCACACAAACTTCCACCTTCTCTTGCCACGATGTACCCTCGCAGAATTGCACCTCGCTCCGCCCTCCCATCACTCCGAACATGTGCCGGATTAGAGACTCTTGCAATGCTTCACCAGAGCCGTACTGTTGGAGCTCTTTCTCAAGGAACGCCTTGAATTGCTCTGGTGCTTCTCCAATACAGTAAACGGTGCCGTTGTATCCTGTGAATGGAATTGATTATTATATTCTGTTTTACATGTTAGTTGGCTTTTTTAATAAATTACTCTTTTTACTTAAGTTCTGGACATTGTGAAGCGTATCTAATTTTGTAATCATGCGCGTTTCTCTTAGATTTATTTGGATGAAGGACAAAAGTGACCGCAGCATTTTTATTACTGCTATTTCTACTCTTAACTAAGTATCTCTTCTTCATGAATCAAATTAAGAATCGTAAGCTCACTGATTTATTATTATCTTACCATGTTCTTCCAGTATTGACGCTAATTCCAGCGCCACCAAAACTCCACTCTCGTATCCCATCAGACAGAACTTCTTTTCCGCATCTATTTTCTTCATCATGACCTGCAAACAACTTGGCGTGTTATCTTTTTTATTTTTGCTATAAATCAGAATATGTAACTCTTGAAGACTATTGAAACTTGGTAAGTAGATGTATTCTGTGAACCGCATTAAGATTTTGATGAAAAAATAAAAAAATAATAATAAATATTGGGGGCTCCCCATACTTAGAACTGAAACTCAAAAATTATAAAAACTACCAACGAAAATTGTTTTGAACGAGATCTAGTAAGTAGTTTTTTTAATACCTCGTAAATCGTAAACCGCTTATTACCGCGTAATCTTTCATACAAATAACTTAAATTGAAAAAAAAAAATTTCATAAATCAATGGTACGGAACCTTTTGTGCGTGAGTCCGACACGCACTTGGCCGGTTTTATTTTATAAAAGCGACGGGGTGGATAGTCAGTGGACGAAACGCTATGTAAAATCATACAAAGTAAACTAAAATCCGTTATGCGTCGGGTGCAGGCCAATGGACGCGTACCAAGCCTTGGTTAACAGATATTTTAGATAAAATAATACCTGTCCACATTAATATAAAGAGAGAGTTTAACTTACATTAGCATATCTCTTGGCCGTCTCCTGTACACTTTCATTCAAAAAGTCAAGGCCG